TAAACATACACCACTAATTTACTTCCACAGAAGTAACCCACAGAGGGTAACACAGCATGAAGACAGTCAGATGTGAAGACAAGCTGCCATTTGGATTAACACAACTGTTCTTGTCAGCAGGATCTCCCTCCCACCTCCTGATTTCAAAGCCTTCTCCATTGAAAATGCTCTGCTTCTTGAGAAGCAGCCCTCCAGCAGTCCACTCTCTACTTGCATGATGGAGTTTCAGCATTTGCAGAACTGCTGTTAGCTGCAGCCAGCCCAGCCAACACATCAGCTCTACTTTGTTACAATTTAAAGATTCTCTTTGAAGGAGACAAGGCAAAAGAGGAAACTGAAGCTTCCTTTGTAGGAACTGCAGATTTCTTCCGTAAGAGTCACAGTTTTAAAGTTCTGAGCACATCATCCAAAGCTGTACTCCTGAACAAGCAGAGGAATCTCATCTGACCACGAGAAGCCCCAAACCACAGATATCCTTAATGCTTGGGATTTGCCATAAAAATGAAACAAGAGCTAAAGCACTCCACTGCCTCCTGCTCAGCACGGCACCTCCCCAGCACACGCTTTATTTCCACACTGACAGCACACAACACCTCAGAAAGCTTTACACACCTTACACACCAGAAGGGCGTACACAAAGCTCACCGAGTTTCAAGAACATATTGTTACAAATGCAGCTGCCACCTTCCCAGCTGACAGCCTTCCTCCGAGATTTTATGTTCCAGAAACACAGATGGCTGTAATCACTTTTTTTTTTTCATTAGGACTACATGAAACACATTGCAAAACACGTTCTGAACAAGGGTATTTATTTCTATATTAAAAATACTGCACACATTAATACGCAGTTAGCTGGGTGCTCATTTAAATGAAACTTGGAGGCAGAACTTCGTAACACGCTTTTATTACCACTGCTCCTGACGTCCAGAAACATGAGAGTCAGTGCATGGCACCCCACTGCCAACAGAACCAAAGAGATAAAGCAATAACAGATGCCCAACAAGTCTTCCTGACAGGATTTGCAGAAATATAAGAAAAGCTTTTTGGGAATGGATGACTGAATTCACTAACAGCATTTTTTGCTGAAAATAGAGAGGTGAATAATCAATAAGAAAGTTTAGAGAAATAGTTCTTTTTGTAATCTGTCCAAAGTCCAAATCGTACATTCTCCATTCACCAGAGGTCCACACAACTCTGGCACTGCACTCTGCTAAGGGTTGGTTGGTACAGTGATGCACCTGAGCTGCTCTCAGTGCACGTGGCAAGAGAATGCACAGCTGTTTCAGGCACAACTTGTTTCTGTTTCATACACTCTGTCTCACCAAAATCAGCTCAACCAGAAGTCAGCTAGCCAAATTAAAGACATAAGTGTAATGCACCTGCTTACAAAATCCTGACTGAGTACTGGAAGGAACTGAAAATTACAAGACTTTTGAGACTGTAAATACAAAAACCAGACTAAGTAACATCCCAGAGTTATTAAACGCATTTTTCCAAAGGAGAAGTACTGCTCTGCCTTTAGGGTGCAGAACCCAGAACCTCCCACAGACAATCAGCCCTAACGCCAGACTCTCATGCTACTCAGAACCCCTGACAGCCCAGCACCCACCAGAAACCAGCCCAGAGAGCAGCTCCCAGTGCTCGGAACTCCCAGGTGCTCCCCCAGCCATGTCAGCCACACAGATGCGATGCATTTTTACCCCTCCCCACATCCTGTTCTCTAAAGCAGATGCGGGGGCTCCTGGGACTCTGACAGACAAACCTTTGTTCACTCTTGATTGGAGGGCGTCCAAGCATTCTTGCTAAAGAAAATGGGGTTTCTATGTTTCAATTGTGCCTGCAAAGGAAGAAAATCACCAATTCCTCTGGTTTTCCAGCTGCCGGCATTACCAGCACCTCCCCAGGTCCAGCGCTTGGTTTATTTTCAGGTTAGTTTTATTGGTTTTCTCTTTTAACGCCAATGCATTAATATAAACAAACTTCCATCAACATAACAGCTCTGGGGTTTAAGGTCTGTTGATGAGAATTACTTGTGGAACAGTGTGAAAAGCCCACTGCTGGATGAGGTCGTGCACCTTGCAACTGTATGGAGTACTAAGACAATACATTTATTGCTTTAATAGGATTTCTGAAACTGCATACTTTGTTTACTTATGAGTCTATGATGTATATGCAATGGAAAGAAGTTGACTGTAAAGAACTGCTCCAAAGCACGATTCCCAATTACACTGGTATAACCTGAAGCTACTGTTGAGACTTAACATGTAGATAAACTTCCTGTCCCAACAAGGCAACGTTTGAAATCTTGTAAAAGGAGTAATTCACAGCTGAAAGCCTTGCCAGGTTTGCAGATGAGCTGCCTGCAGCAGTCATGGCGGAACTGGGACTCTCATCTCACAGTGCAGTCACTCCAGGCTTTTGACACACAGTGCTGCACCCGCAACAAGGCTGGGGCATTCTCTTTGCTGCTCCACTTATAGGGAAACATTATCTTTAAAATCCAGAGTGACTATGAGCAGTAATGTCTGCTTAAGAAAAAAAATATATATATAAAACCAGAGCTAGTATAGCTTTCAGTCCAGATGAAAAAAATAAACATGTATCTTAGCAAAGGACAGCAAAGCACCCTTAAGGAATCAACGCATTCAGCACTGTTCCTGTGCTCTGCTGTGTCACCCAGGTGATACATGAAGAGCAGAAAGCCAGGTTTTGGTATGACTGAAAGTCACCACCACAAGCAATAACATACAAAACACAGGATGCTGTAGGGGCTAAGCTGTACCTCCCAAACATTTTGACTGAGGATATGTGGCTTAAGAAAGAAATCCCAGCTCTCTGGTGGAAACGCACAGAGGATCTGATGGGGACTAAAGGATCTCATTGCGCCGTGTATTACTTTTTCACCTTTCCCGTAAGTGTGCATGGCATGTTAAAGAGAGGTGAACAGCACTAAGAACAGCCAAATTCCCTCTATGGCAATTTGGCAGATCCTTAACCAAATACAAGTCAGTACACCAAATACAGACAATACACTTTTTAGCAGGTAAATATTTCCACATTTACTTACACAGCCCCACAAGTCACCGGGAATTAATCTCAACTGAAATCCACAGAACCAGTGTTTCAGAACACTAGTCTCTGCTGCTAGATTTATATGCTTTTATAGGAACGTTTAAGAAATCCACATAGGAAGAACCATAAACACTCATGACAAGGGCTGGCCGGGTTGTGCAATTCTGTTTTATTATTGTTTACTTTTAAAAAGTAGAATGGTGTGTACCTAATACAGGAGTAATGCTCCTGGGAATGACTGCAACAAGAAATAATGGTAATAAACAAAATACAACAACAGTGTTTTCAGCATTGTCACTCCAGGAACAGAGGGATTGTCAGATTGAAATTTGAGTTTTTAATATAATCCCTGTTTTTCAAGCAAATCTGTAACTGACAAATTATCCCTTCAGGTTTAAGTTGAGGAACATCATCAGCTCCCCTTACTAAATTTTAATACTCAGTAGAAAATACATGAATTCACACATTAAAGTCCTGCTGAAATTTCACAAGTGGGTCTTTAGGGATCCACATACAGGTTAAACACCTGTACTGGGTACAGTGATTCCTTCCCTTTGCCACCTCCCTGCCCAGCAAAGGAAATGCTGTTACCATACCAAGGAGACCAAAAGCAGAGGGAAAACAGCTGTTCTGCCAAAACCATCCATAGATTTACCCAAAGTCTTACACACAACCCCTTAAGAGATTTTTTAAAGTTGATTCTCCTGATTTGCTCTAGAAAATTGAAGAGTGTTTATTGTTGTTGGTTTGTTTGTGTTATTTTGCTCAGCTTTTAAATTCTAATAAATAAAGCCAATTAGAACCCACGGTTTTCAGTTATGCAGATGTGTATTACTAACAAACTATGCAATTAAGTGCTCTTCCAGCACTGCAGCATCCAGGAACAAGGGGCAATGCCACACTGAGACATTAAGAAGTTAACAAAAAGTTGATTGAACAATGTGAACAATAAACCCCCTTTAATTAAAATATCCCCAAATGCACCAGAAAAAAATACACTTATCCTGAACGTTGACCTTATAAAAATAGATAAAAGAACAAGTGTACATAATACTTGCAAATTGTTTCTTATTATTTAACTCATGCATTTAGCACATCCCTGTTTAACAAAGCCAAGTGAAGGTAACAGGGTTTTCCATGAGCTGCTGGTCCCCCTGGCAGAGTTATCATCTTGCACCCCCAAACTGCCTAAGCCTTGCTAGGAACTTTAATAAGCATCCTTAAAAATAGAAAGAATTTACATGACTTCTCCTATCTAGGCATTTTAAATAGCAGCGCTATCATGCAGCCATCCCAGGTCCCAGGAGGGACAAAGATATGTTGTCAACAAAGAAAAGGCAGAGATAAGGTTTTCAGAGGTCACCCCCTGACCTGACAAAATCCAGGGCCTGATATTGGCCTCCATGTCAAAAATAGACCATCTGAAAGCAGCAGCAAACACTCCCGCCGTTATCTCGCAGCTCCTTGTTTTGCAGACCGTGCGGAGCACTTCATGCAATGGCATCTGAATCTGCCGTAACCTATTTGAGAATGGCTTCTGTGAAGCACATGTGATACAAAGCACATTTCTCAAGGGCAACAGGAACAACGAAGAGAAACAAACTCTGCCGTAAGCCCCTTCTGTTGGAAGCGTAACGCACAGGCACAAGGGAAACATAGATGTTGTCTTTACAAAGGCCACCACCGCTCCGTTCACAAGAATTAAAATCAAACACACATCTAGTCCCCCACCTGCCTTCTGCTAATCCACACAATACTATCACCCTCTGGAAGCAGAGATACCTCTACCAAACAGCTAGCAGCCGCACACAGCAGTAACATATCCTACCACTCTTTGTTTTTATGGACATACACGAGTATTATTAGTTTCTAACCGCAACTCAATAATTGCAACAAACCACCACCGCTGAATTAAACAAATACACTACCTTTTCTGATCCATTATCTTTGCCGTTTCTCCTTCTGCTGACTGAAGCTCAGTGGTTCCCCATGTCCTTGTTGAGCGCCCACTGAAGTCTGCAGGGTTCTACTGAGCACTGACCGAGCCGGGGCAGCTTTAGCCTCCACCAGCAGGAAGCCCTGAGATAAGCGCTGCCCTATGGAAAGTTTATCTTTTGAAAGGGAACAAGAGGCTGGAACTGAAGGCTGGGACAGTCTGTAAGGTAACTATTTGGTAAAGCCTGTAGATGAATTATGTAGTAAGTGCGCTGACAGGGACAGTCACTAGATGCCACCAATTGCTAATAAATTCATTTCAACAAACAGGTTTTAGACCCAAACTTCTCCACTGCAGATTTTTAGTATTTTGTAACTAGACTAAAGATACCAGCTTCAGTTTCATAAATAGAAAGCAGGAAGCTGCTGTTGCTGAGATGACAGCCTTCTTCGCAAAGGAGCAGAACAAGTACTTTTTTTTTTTTTTTTTTTTAAAAGGCTGTCCTACGTAAGAAACTTTTCTTCCCTAAGAAAAATCTCTGGTTTCATTTAACAATAGCAAATTCTATCTCTGGATTCCATAAGCTGAGCACATACTAGTCTTTTTCCAAGATTATTCAATAAAGAATCTCCAGGGTGTTTCTGAAATTCACATTCTGAAGCCAGGCTCTACAGACACCCCTGAAGTTGCAACTCGTTTAGGAACTGTGCGTTGTGACAAGAGCGCATGGCTGCGTGAAGACCTTCTCACCATAAGGAGTGAAGAAGGATGGTTTTAAAAACTGCACACGAGGAACAAAACATTAAAACACAAGTAGACAAGTTTACTCTTCCCAAAAGGAAATGCTGATATTCAATAGAAAACATTAGAAATATTATTTATCTTTAAAAACCTCCAGGTTCAGTAGGATTCTAATGGATTAAACAGTGAGGAAAAAAGTACTTAAATCCCAGGCTAAAAACCATCCGCCTGCAGTTAATGAAAGGAGAGATTGCTTAGCAGCAACTCGCGACTCACAGCTGACAACGTCCCAGTGCAAAGTATAACACACCTTAATAAACCAGTGTTTTCCCACAAAATCTGCTCCTCAGTGCACATTCCCTCTTATTTAAAATATCGTCTTCACAAACTTAGATGGATGAATTTGTAATTTCTAAGCCCGGTTTACCAAATAAAAAACGCTCAACATGAAATACTGACAAAAAAAAAAAAGAAGTCGTGGTTTTTCCTGCAAGCACTCTGAAAAAAATAATTCCAATGAGCGCTGTGGAGATTCAGAGACGGCTGAACTGCTTTGTTTCATGTAAGTTCAGCTTGCAGCAGTGACAAGTTTGACCTGCCGGTCTCCCATCTGGAGACTTCATTTGCCACAAAAGCAAATTTCCACTTCAGCAACACAGTTTGTGTTTTGAAGTTGGCTTTGTTTGTTTGTTCCCTCTGCCATACGATCTTCTTGATGATATACAGAGGAAAATATGCTTTCCTTCTATATACATACATATAAACAACGACATAAGAGAGCAATTTAAAATAAGAACAATCCAATATTTCTCAGAAAATAACAGCTACTTGGATTTATATTTCTGCTTAACACATCAGGAGAACAAGTGCCGTAACAGCACATTTTTCAAGAGCAGAAATACAGTTAAGTGAGCAAAAGAGAGCTATGATATGCACCAACATGAGACTTGTGCTTTACGCTCAGCACCAAAACAGAAAATATCCAATTACAGCAAAGTTTCCTGATGTGCAACAGCACGTTGTTGCTGGCTGACAGATAACCATGCAGCTTCACCCATACCATCCCCACCAGCTCTTCATGCAGCTCTCCTTGCCACCCAACCTCCCGCCCAGAGCTCTGCACACAGCAGTGCAGCTCAGCTACTGCCCACGGAGCAGCTCGGCAGCACCGCTCCGTAATCCCATCTATGATTTCTGCCAATAAATACATTTCTCTCTGCAAGATGCACGAGCAATTAAGCAGACTGTGGATTGTGTTTTGGTTTTGTTCTGCTTTTTAACCCTGAAACCCTATGCATTCTGTGCGCTGTGAGTTTGCTCCCACCCTTCTCTGCTGCAGTTTGGATCGTTGTCAAAGTAAACATGCAGAGGGATATCAGATAATATATGTTTGTCACACGACGTCTTCATAAAATCTTCTACCTTTAAACAGAAAAAGTGACAAAGCAAAGCAAGCAATTTGTGCAGAACTGCTTTGTAGTTTTCTGTGTATCCTTCCAACAGGAGTCATTGTTTGACATAACTGATGCATAACACATGCAGTCCCAAGGAGACAACAGCATACATTCCAGGCACTGTCAATTAACAAAAATTACCTCGCAGGGACTTATTAGAAACTGGGGGCTGACACAAGAGGAACAACGTAATTATTAAGAATTTTAAGTGAACATTTGCAGCACTAAAAAAAAAAAAAAAAAAAAAAAAAAATTATCTTCCTGTACCTGAATAATTTTTAAGCTAACACTGTTATACAATCACCTCGTACTACTCTTGTAACCAGACAGTGACATGAAGAGATATTAACCATAAAGAACTTACTTTAAACAGACAGATTTACCCCCACAGATATATTTCTCTTAAAATTAGGAGAGGAGTGTAAATACCACAAAAACCACACGAGGACTCACATCTTCCCAGCACTACTTTGAGCGGCATTCATGCTGGCTCTGCCACCTGAAGCCGTGACAGATTTAAAAGCTGTTCTGATAGATCAAAAATTGAACTCGGAACATCTTAATAAACATCTCAAGTTTCTACAACGAATAGCGTCTCAGGGGCTCAATAGTTACGGGCTGAGTGTAACTTGGCACTTATGGCTATGAGACACACGGTGTGCTGAACGCTCTGCTGCACAAATATCCTTCAGGACACCATTTCAGCCGGTCTTGTATGAGCTCTTTAAAGCATAGCAAAGGGTCACCTCTCCCTGCAAAGTAATGTCTTTCACAGCCTCTCTCCCCTTTATCAAACAGAGTACTGTAAAAATACAAGAGACTGCATCAGGCTAGAAAGCTGTTCTTAATAACACTTTTCAGGCCTTTGATAAGCGTTACAGTCCCAGAACAAAAAGTTCTCTTTTTCTATCAGCTATGGAGAGCTCTAGGCTCTCTTAGGCTGAATTTCCATAACCTCCTTAACCCCTAGCAGCAGGTCAGATTTCTGAGCAGAAACCTGTCCAGGTGCTAAAGCTGCTTTGACTGCATGGCATTTCTTGCCAATGAGTCAAAGCAAAGGATATTTCTTCCTTATATTCCATCTGTAGGGTATTGTTGGTGAGCTCTTACACAAAGGTGAAAACCTCTGCTCGCTTGGTGAGAAACTAGGGATCTGGGAGATAGTGACAGGAAGGAAAAGCTGTGCAATAGAGGAAGAATGAGAAGGGTTGGAGAAGTATAGAAGTGCCATCCCCTTTTCCCTCCTTTGTCCCCATCACTGCAAAGCCTGTTTTCTACATACTTGTTATAGAAGACAACAAAAGAGGCAAAGAGGCTGCATAATACTGAGCAATACAACCACCCCAAGGACTTGAAGGAGCAATGAATTAGGAACTGCGATAAGCTCTCTCCTATCTTCAGTTTCCAAAATCTGCAGTCATGAATTCTGTTTCACACAACAAGCCTTACAAATCAGACTGGCAAAGCACATTCATCACCATCAATACCACAGCAAGCGAAGACAGCGTGAGTCAATGAACAGGACTGGGCCGCACAACTGTGAGCAGCCACTGGTAACTGTAAAATGAGAAATCCACCATGTAAATCTCTCTTCTTCCCTTCCTCCCATACAAGAGGATGTTTTGAGGCTGAACTGTGGAACTCTCCAGAGACGTGATAAAGGGAAAGCAAAAAAACAGCCCAGCAACACCATGCAGGACAAAAACATATGAAGCCACTCAGTAAAACAGTATCACAAGCAAGCATGGCATAACCACTGAAACAATGACTGCATTAGAAGCTGCTCTTCTTTGCAGAGCACTATCCAGCTCCAGTTTTAAGCCTCTCCATCCAAGAGGAGCCTTCGCAGTGACCAACCTCACCCACGGCAGCCTACTGCAGCTGCTCCATGGTTGATGAGACCATTGCAAGACATGCAACCCATTTCAGAAAGTTTTCTCATCCTCTCCAAAAGCTAATTAATACCATATATTTCTGTCTTACTCCTCCCTCCATCCCATTTTCCTAGGCTTAACTAAAGGGTAGGAGAGCTTAAAGTAGTGCCTAGAAAAGCTACTCTTTAGGACAACTGCCAGTGGACTGAAACTTCCCACCACAGTCCTAATCTCCCTTAAAGACTTCTTGGATATGGGTTCAAGTAAGAAGCCCTACACAGCTGGATGCCAGGATGAACCAAGAGCTTTTACTCCCCAAATCCTGCCTCTGCATGGTAAGGCTGCACCTGTCCCAGTGTAGTACCCCAGGCGCCTTCAATTAATGCAGAGAAAATCCTGAGCTAAGCACCTACTTAAATGTGATGGGTTTGCCATTCAAATGATGGTGTGCAAGCCTAATAAAAGCACCAGTTAGTAAACAACATTATTGCACGAACATGAGCAGAATTATGAGCAACCACAAGCTGCAATCAAGTCGAACTTCATCACCATGCCCACACAAAAACTAGCGGCACTGGTTTTATTTTAGATCATTGCAAACAAGCAAACATTCCTATTGCTTCTCCAAAGAGCAGGAAAGGAATCATGGAGTGCTACTAGAAAAACTCACAACTGAACAGATGTAAACTACATTACAGTCCTTACGAAAATGGATTTAATTTCCCAAAGCATAGCTTGGGGTAGCTAATTCAAGTTGCATACCTAGTCCTGAGAGCTTTGAGAAGCAATCAATCTTCTTGCATTCACCAATGAGCTTTCTGGTAATCTGCAGTTTTTATAATGTAATGAAGAACATTTGAGTTAACCAGCCATTGTCATAGTAGCCTGTTGATCTTGTAATGGCCTCTTGGTTACTTATTGGGTATGGACAGAGCATATAGTGCAGCAAAACCAGA